GCCCGGCCGGGGGCCGACGTGTCCAAAACCCAGAGGGCTTTTTGGGATTTTCAGAGAGCGAGCCGTCCCACGGCTGTGGGCTGTTTCGGCAGGAGGATGCGCCCGAGCGGGAGGCGCGGTGCCTGGGGACATGGTGCAGCGTTCTTTCCCATGTGGAGAGGGCGGCAGCTGAGCTTTGTCACCCATCCCGTGCTGCCAGCTCCCGACAGCGTCCCTGCCTGCGGAACCAGGAAGGAAGAAAAGGATCCAAGCAAGGGGCAGGGAGAACATTGGGGTATTTTCCTCCCTTCTTGGATTTTGGGGAGCTGTTTTCCTGCTGCTGTTTCCTTCGAGCCCACGGCAGCCGGATTGCGGGACCGCGGGCGATGCTGTAGATCCGACACTCCCATCGCTGCCAGCCCGGCACCCTGCTGCTTGTCCCCAGCCGTCCCGGGGCCGCGTCCCATTCAGTGTTCGTAATAAACCGCGACTGGTGAGAAGCGGGGCCCTGTCATTTGTACTGGGAAACCGGAGGTTGGCGAGTGAAGAGACGAGGGCTACAATCCAGGGGCTGGTCCCAGTGGGGACACAGAGGTCTGGGCTCTGGATCTGTGACCACCCGCCCTCGGGGAAAGATGCAAAGGGGCTGTGAGGCCATTTCTGCCCCAGGGACAGAGGCCGAGGGCTGTGAGGCTGTTTCTGCCCTGGTGCGTGACAGCTTCATGCTCCACAAAGGTCTGACCTGAGCCCTGCAGGAGGCACCTTGAGAAGTTTACTAGGAAAAACATTGTTGGGGGATGAGATTTGTCCCATGACTGCTGAAAAAATGAAAAATGTTTCTTTCTTTAAAACTTTTTCCAGACTTCATTAGCTCAGACAAAAACGTACAGATGTTGGGCAAGCCCTGCTCTTACACACCGAGCCTGTATCTCGCTTCCCCTCCCGTCCCTGTCAGGTTGCATCCATGTAACCCCGCACCCCTCTAAATCCACGGCGCAAATTACAGGCAGCGTCTTAACACATCGTTCAAATGTTTCTTGGGGGAGTGCTGGCCTGCTCTGGGCCATCGCCTCCCTCCCAGAAAGTCACTACAGGAAGTGCTGAAGGTTCCCACCACGAGTGTTGGTGTTCGCCCTTCAGCTACGCGCCGGCAGCAGCAGAAGGATCTCCCCGTTGCTGAACGCGGCGAGTCTGGGCGGTGGGATCTCTGGAGCGTGTTGGGGTCTGCTCCTTACACCTGGTCCCCGGGGCGAGCTCCTGGGTTCCACCGAGGAGTCCTCGATCCACCGCAGCCGCCTGCTGTTACCAGAAGGTCCAGGGGGGCTGCATCATTTCGTACGTGGGGATGCTGGTGACGTTGACAGGGATGGAGATGACGGCCCAGGGGAGCCCGTGCTGCTCCAGGGAGCGTCTGATCATGTACCTGGAAGGACAAAGAGGTGCCAGGTGGGTGGTGAGCCCAGACGTGAGCCTAAACCGCCAACCAGCTGAAAAAGAAACTGTGGCTCAATTAGGACATTAAAACTCTTGTCTCACCAAACCGGGATCTCCCTGTTTTGTGGGGACAAGGCCATGGCTTGGCCCTTTCCTTGACATGTCCCACACTCGAGAAGACAAGGTGTCTCTCGGCCGAGGCACCTACCCGTCCCTGCCGAGCAGGAAGAGCGCGGGGATGTCAGCTGTCCGCCTGGTGCTGTCCTGGATCATCTCGATGTAGAAGCTGTCGTTATCGTAGGCGTTGTCGGCAATGATCACCGCCCGTCCGCCGTGCTCCTGGATCACACGCGTCTTCGACAGGAACGAGCAACCCCTGGGGCAGAGAGCGACAAATCTTTGGTGGCCACCAGCAGAGTCCCGCTCGGTCCCCATGTGTTGCATGATCTAGTCGAGAGGTGCCATCCCTGGCGGCAGGGAGGCCGGATTAAAATGATCTCTAAGGTCCCTTCCAGCTTAGGCCATTCTGTGATTCTTGGCAGGTATGAAACCTGCAAGTTCTGGAGCTTCCCTGGAGATGCCCAAACCAGGGAGTGTCTCCCTGGCCACATGCCTCCCCCAAACCCTGCTCAGCTGTATTTTTAGCACACGCTGCCCACACTCTGCAGAATAAAAAACAATATAAACCTTTTTTTTTTTTTTCCTCCAACTAAGAGACACAGAATGAAGCGCTCCGGGCCAAGAGCACCTTGACATTCTCCTCGTGTACCTACATAGAGTAAGTCACAAGAAGAAACTGGAGGTGATGGTAAAATGTGATGTTCTGTCACCTTCTGTGCCGCGGGCAGCTACGCTCCTGCCCGAGTTTGCCCCCCAAACAGCTCCCGTGACGCCAGACGTACCCCCTCTCCACCAAGGCAATCTGGTCCTGGATGAAGACACCATTATTCAGCTCTCCGCAGGCTTCGGGGGGATCCGCCGGCACCAGGTGGATCTGGTCGTACCTTGTGTTCTCCAGGAAGGAGAAAGGCAGGGGTGAGCCAAAGGGGTTGGAGGCTGCTTCTTATTCCCTGTCCC